AGAATTCCGGGTCCTGCCACAGACAGAGAAGGAAGCTCACGAAAAATGTTAATGTTCTACAAGTCCAGGTGCTGCTACACAAAACAAAAATAAACAGATATAAAGAAAAGCTGATACCTAAACAGTACTATCATTCAGTCACTTACCACCGAAGTGATAAAGTCTAGAATAAAATTTAAATCTTGGACATCCATGTAACACCTGTTTTCTGATAATGCTTCAATTTCTTACAGGTAGCAAGTTCTTGGACTATTATTAGAGTTCACTTACCACAGCATTTCCTGCTCTGAGACATTTGAACAGACACTGGTATTCATCTACAAATATTTACTTGTCACCAGCCAAATATTATAGACCTTATGTCTAGAAACTCAGTTCTTCTTGTCCAGGCACTCCAAAGAGCTTGGCTTTTAGAATTTAAATTTCACCTTCTGGATTCCCATGTAACAAGCACCTCTGAAGAAGTCCAAGATCATATGAATGGAGATAAAGGAATAAGTGGTTCCACTGCATAAGAGAATCTGGGAGTAATTGCACAAGGCTTCATGTATCACTTTTCCACAGTTCTTAGCGCGAAGACTTGCCCCAGGGCCTGCGCTTAAAAACAGAGGAAATTACGATGCATGCTTCTGCTGAAGCCGCAATGCAAAAGCAGCAGACAGCTTGCCTGCTACAGATGACCTTTATTGCAAAGGGCTGCAGTAGATCTGCTGTGTAAGAGAAGGATCTTCACTGCACAAGAAAACCTCAGGCAAATGAGGGGATGTTTGTGGTCAATGTGTGTTTTAGTAAGATATGATCTTTCAGGAGCAAGGGAGAAGCTGATAATTTCCTCCTTCGCACATACAGACCCCTAGAAGCACAGAAGCATGTGCTTTGCCACCCTGCTAACCAGGGCAACAATATAATTTTGCTGGTATAACTTCAGAGCTACAAAAGAATCGATGTTAACTAGCACTACAACTTAAGTCGTAATGCCTTCGGGCCTGCTTTGAGACATTTAGTATTTCCCACTAGAAGTGAGGACAGTTTGCAGATCACATTTTAGTACTTGGCTTCAAAAGACAAACTGATAACTTAGCATTTCAAACCACAAGAATGGACAAATTTAAAACTTACTTCCATGATATGATCCCGAACTTGGGTTTCAGAAAAGGCCTTCTGTTTCAAAAACCAAGAAGCTAGGCCCAGGACAAAAGTGCTGGTCCCTAATACCTTTCCTTTTAGAAAGCATTAACAATATTGATATTACAGGAGGTTATTAAAGACCTACTAGTAATGTAAAAGGGAGTGATAAAGACATATGACCACACATGCAGCTTAAATTTGGGGGAAAAAAAGCGCTACATTTTTTGCATACTAATGATTTTAAAAAATAACCCTGGTCAAATTTCACTTTTCTCTCATGCACTTGCATAGTCCTTATCTGTCTAGAAAACAAGCAGTAAGAGGAAGAGGTATTTTCACCTGTAAATAGTAGCCAGATTGTTTAAGATATACAGTATCACTGACGACCTCTGGCCTCCCGAGACCTCTTGCTATAGGAAGGCAATGAAAAAAACAACCCCCAGACGTCACAGTCTGATAAGGCTTTACGTTATTTTGTGATACATAACAGCTCCCCCCCCCCCCCCAACAAAAAGGGTATTTAAGAACCATTAAACTTCACCCCATTCATTGCATACAAGGAGCAATCAGTACTAATAACTGTTCTTCAGGACTGTAATAGCCTGGCTTGAAAACCATTATTCTGAAAAATAATATGTACTGAAAAATAAGGTTACCTAGGCAATATAAGACACAACAGGAAAAACAGACCTCTCGGTCTGCACGTTTGTACAAAGGCTGGAATAAGTGCCAGCATCTGTAGCTCGGGTCCTCCTTCCCCGGCAGACGGGGATGCTGGCGGCCCGGCCTGGACGCCCACCGAGTCGGAAGGACGTGCCCATGCGCTCGCCCCTCTCCCGGCTCCCCCGTCTTCTCCTTCCCACTCGGGACTACTTTTGTGCGGGTCA